GTTTTGTTCAGCTGTTTGTTATATGGGACAGAAAAGGCTTGTTTCATGATTTCTCTGGCTTATGAACCTCTGCCTTGACCTGCATTTCTAGAAGAGAGCTAATAAAAGGAAGATTAATCCTGTAAAAGAAATACCCATATTCCAACTTCACATATTCGTACCTAACATATGGACAGAGGTGTAGCTCTGACCAATTAACATTTCTCTTCTCCAGCATTACACCTGGTTATTCTCTATTTATTTTCTATTTTTTATTTTACTCATTATTTTCTACAGGCTTGTTTGTTTCAAGCATTGACATAAAACACCAACACAGCACAGGGAACTTTCCTCTCATTTTTAAGGCAAAATAGAACCACAAAGTCAAATCTGTTTCCTCCTATGTACCTTGGGCTACCTTTGTCCGCTGAAGCACGCAGATCTCAGCACATCAAGCATTAAGTTTTTTCTCCCCTGATACTTACCAATGAAAAGTTGCACAGGTGACATCATTTCCAGGTTATGCACCTCTACTTTGTTAACCAAACTATTTGGAATTTCCCTAATCCTTCTGTTCCCCTACATTCTCTAGCTCTTCTTTCACTCTGTTCCCCACAGTTTTACCCCTGTAACTCCCCGCTCTATCCTCTCTCTCTCTTTCACATCATCACTAAGACACCTTTTTGTTAGTCCCAGCCTATTTCTGTCTTCACACATTATTTATGTGGACCCATCCTCGCTTCAAGTTTCCCTTCTCCACAAGCAGGGTCAGCATTGTGCTTCTAGGTAACAACAAAATTATTTATTTTGTGAGCTCAAGGTTTTATTTTGTAATATTACACTCAGTTGAGAAGAGATGGAGAAACAACAGATATTGTGTCTGTTTGCTCTGTAATATCTATGTATTTTGACCTGCACACACATACATGCGATCTGGGACCCTGGAATGCCTGACAGTCTGCTGTCTCAACCTAGAGTCATCCCTCAAACTAGGGGGTTTACTTACTATTTCCTTGCTAGTCATTCTTGCAGAAACCTTTAGTTCTCATGTTTAGGCCCCAGGCCATATGTATCAACTTGTTTCTCAAAAAAAAAACCCCAAAAAAAAAACCCCAAAACCGAAAACCCAACCTTTGCCCCGCATCCGAGTCTCATACCCTCAGTTAACATGGGAAGAGATAGGGATGGTGCACATCTATCAGAGCAGAGGCTGGGTGCTACTGTAGTGACAGCATTATTCATGTTTAATTCAGATGGAAGATCTTTAATTTTTTTTCAAACCTATCAAAACCAGTTTATATTATCAAAGAATCCATATTTAGCTTATGACAAATTATAATTTATTCCACACACAACTGATTTATTATCTCTGTCTGGTAACAACTCAAGTGTGTGAGCTTTCTGCACACGCAGAGCCCAGCTTCCTCTCCATCACCACCTCCTTTGGAATGATCGGTTACTATTTCTGTTGTCAGCAAGTTTGTTTTCTTAAAGGTAATAACGTACTCCCACCAGCTACACAGGCACTGGTAACTCAGAAGTTGGGAGTAAAGTATGAATCCAATCACCACTCTGAAATACCTACACCTTAATCACCTTTGATAAGCCTCGCAGGAGTTTTGTTCTGCCCCTCCTTACTATATTCACTACAAAGTGAATACTTACTACTTAAATACTTCCCAAACACAGGATACAAGCTACTATTCAGAGAGCAGTCTGACAGTCTGTTCTGCAGAGCTGGATGAGATTTTCTGATCAGTACCACGAGTAAAAGTTTTTATTTCCACAAACCAGTTAGGAATGTGCAACACAATATATTCTTTTTAGAAGATGAATTTGCAGGTATAGTCTCTTGATCAGACCTACATTCCTGTTTAGAATAACACAAACACGCAATGTCCAAGCTGTTTTTCTAATACTACTCTCCTAAGAAATTTTTAATGTGTCCAAGTTCAAGCATGTTCTCACACTCACCCCCCCACTCCAAAATCCTCAAGAAGCTGATACAAAATTTGATTACAGATTAGACTTCTTACCAGCTGGCAATAAGGCAAAGACAACATTCAGAGAAATGCAGCATATTTTCGTGGGGTTTTGTGACCAAAATGACATTTCCACTCTGGGGAAACTCCTCTTTTCTACCTTTCCACTTGTGTTACTCCATAAATCCTGGGCCACCAGGACAGAGCTGCAGACTTGGAACAGATCGCTCAGCTGTAGGCTGAAACTCTACATTTGCTCCCCTCTACCCTCAATTCTTTCCAAGCATCATTAATTTTAGGCTTTTATGCAGTACGGGGGGGGGGGGGGGGGGGGGATCCCGAGCTTCAGCGTCGGGGGGGGGGGGAAGTACCACGTGTTCAAGTTCTTTCCTCCAGAAACAGTTAACGATTCTCCAGTAACAATCAAGTCACCAAGATAAACAAGCCCACCTAATACAACTTCAGGCTTTCACAGCCCTGTGAAAATATTGCCTGGAGAGCCAGCGTTCTGGGTAATGAAAAAATTCACAGTTTATCTCATTGAAAAGAGATGAAATGTTGAGAAGTTTTCCATCAGGAAGATATAGAACTCAAGAATTCTTGCAACTTAAAGGTTTGGTCTTAACATGTGTTTCACAAACAGCAAAAGTTGTTACACAATGTATTTGTTTTCAAAAAATCTATGGGTGTTTATTGAACAATTATAAGACCACTGGAAGAGGATACTACAAAATGTGTACGTTTTTATAAAGGTATATGTAAAGTTGCCTACAGGACTGAACTAATTTAGCTACAGACAGCAGATAAAGAAAATAGTTTCACTAACATTGTAAGCAGGAAAGTAATGACAGATTAAGACATACTATAATATACAAACAAATATTTCTTAGTTAAAAATAACATCAGTACAAAGATTGTTCTTCTCACTTCTATTGTTTTAGTTTAGTCTTGTTAGGACCAGGTGGGCACCTCTTGTAGAGAAGTAGTATCACCAGAAGTCTAAGTAGATCTCTAAGTAGACCTGAAATAAATAAACTGTATGTCAACGAGCAATATTTAGAGTAATCATAAGCAGGTAAAACATTCAACATTCTATAAAAGCAGAAAGGTGTAGAAAGACCACTTTCACCTGTATCAAGATACAATATATAATAATTTAGTGATCAAAAAGCTGATCTTGCCCAGTTTCTTTATATATTATTGTACCATCTTGACGCATTTAAGAATGCATCATGCAGAAATGCTGAGCGATTCAAATTAATATGCAAAAAGATCACTATGAAACAACTATTAGTCTCCTATTTCAAGTAACTTATTTTTAGAATAAACCAGAGATGACTCACACTGTTGTAACATTAAAATATACGCATCATTCTTAGTGCCCTAAGGTTGGCACAAGCAACTTGTAAATGTCAGAAGAACATATAAACCTCGTTAATGTTTTCAGAAATTCATTTAAAGATAGAAACAGGTCCAAAAAGATGCCTGTCTAAATGCATTGCAATTACGTTACAATTATTTTCCAAATACACAGATATGCTCTGTCTTTTCTCAGCTCATTACTGACTCAAACAATTTGCCCTTCTGGGATCAATTGTTTGCTAATAAATAATTGTTTACAGTCACAAAATGATATTAAGGAGTATTCTTATTAGTTTTCCTTCTACAGCCTAATAAGATTCAAAACTAGCTGATTCCCAAGAGTCTAACCTTAACCTTGCTGTGTTTAACAGCCCAGGAAATGATGAACCATCTGTTTCAGAAAATAATGGAGGGCCGAGAGGAAATATTGTTTAATTGTAGATTAACCTCCTCATACGGCAGAATGAAGCATCTACAGAATTAGCAACCATAACTAGCAATGAACAAAAATAACTGAAAGCAGCTCTTACAGCAAGTATTATCTTACCACCTTTTTCTATTTAACCCTCCCAAATGTAACAAGTACAACCTGATTTTAAACATAAGTTTGAATTATCATCTTTCGATTTTTTTATTTTTTATTTTTTACTTGAGGAAGCACCAGAAGTAAATCCTGAAATAGTTCTGGGTTTATTTTTCCATGAGTATCAAAATTATTTTAAAACAAACATCTCCAGATGAGAAATGGTGTATTTATTCTTCTACAACTTCCACCTCCCGTCTCCACAGCGATAAAATGGCTGCTCCAAAGCAATATACAAGTCACTTAAGGGAGGTGTGGGACAGTCTTCAAGTTTTAAACTCAAGAGCTTTGGTCACTTATGTGTGTCTATTTATGTAGCCACTTCAATACTAAACAATACTAAATAATGGAGACAACCAAATAAAGTGTAAGACAGTTAAGTACTAGAAGAAAAGACAGCAATGACAAACTACAGGAATTTGAAAATAAAAACAACTGCTCCCGTGCTAGCATAATGAAGAGTAGTGCAATTTGCAGTGTGACGGCAATTTTTCTATGTAACATTCATGCCAAAGTGAGCTTAACAGAAATCTTTCACCTCCATCAATCAGTGTGCCCCATTTTGACAGCAACAATGATAGAAAAGTGTGTTATCAGAGAGCTGCAGCAAACTCAATACACGGGAACCGAGAAAGCTTTTCCTTGATTTTACACAACCTTCCTAGAACAGTATCTAGATTCACTTCTGGCTGTGACAGCTGGGTGCATACTCAGTGTGCAAAGATTTCATTAATTCTAAGTTTTAAATATCCAAACACAGTAACATTTACTCAAATAAATTATGCTTGAATTCTTCACTTAATTCTTGAAGCAATGAGCTAGCAATAACTCCACAGCTTCATATAATAGCACCTATTCAAAAAGGATAAGAGTTTGACATTCTTCTCCTACTAAACAACTAGGCACAATTTTATCCATCAGACGTCTATCAACCTACGGATATTGAAAGCTTGGGCGAACAAGATAAAATCAAAACCAACCCTACTGTCAAGCTGCACTATCTACTGGCATCAATAATGCTATTCATGAATTTAGGAAAATTAATAAATCTTGGGATGAATGCTCAGAAAGGCTCAAATACAGGTGAAGCATACTCACTTAGGTTTTGTTTCTGCATCTGTCACTTGGCGAATATAGATACCATCTTCAGGATGTTCAATGTCATCCATTTCATACATATACGAAGAAGCTATTGCAAGGGTAGTTCCATCGTTGCTGAAGGCAAGTGATGCTATGCTTGTGGGATACCGATGGAACTGACACAGCCGCTTTTTATTAAATGGATCCCAAATATTTACAAATCCATCAGAACCTCCTGAAAATCAATTTTTTAAAAACCGTTTGTAAATTATAACTGGGAGAACGGTAAGACTGAAAAGATACAGGAAAGGAAGAAGGGAAAAAAACAAAAGAGAAGAGAAAACTACCTGGAATTACTTTGTCAGTAAAAACACGGGATTGTAGAGTTGCATAATTCAAGTAAAGAGCACAGTGAGTATTTCCCAAAATTCCTGTTAAAGCAACTAACTCTCACTGCATCAAATAATTTAAAAACTGTGCTCATTGCAACAAACATGATTTAAATACTTAAAAAGTAAGGGCATAAGAAGACAAGGCTGACCTGTTTAAATCAAAACTAAAGGAATTGATGCAAGCGTTACAAAAAATGGAGTACCTACCTGTAGCAAACGTGTTGTGGACATTATGGAAAGAAATAGCATTAACCGGATAAATCTGCTCAATGTTATTTTCCTTCAAACGGTGACATTTGAATGCGTATTTCTTTTTCTGGATTTCTGGACTTGGATCCAAATATTCTACCGCGACACGACCTTCAATAGAACTTAAAACATAACCCTACCAAAAAAAATTTGGAGATATGCATTTTAGAATGTTACAAGTAGAGAAGAGACTGCAATACACTTTATCTTATACCCCCCTAAATTCAAATAAATTCAATGTAAACAGTCTTAAATTGTGTACAACCAGAAATTGTTTGCTACCACAGATTCGTGGCATCATCAATAAAATCTAAGAAAGAAGTAATGCAGAAAAAAAAGCTTTCTGAGAGATTCTCATTGCACCATAGTTTCAAGCTGACAGTGAGGCTTTTAATCACCCCTGCAGATCCAAACACAAGTTGATTTAGGGAAAAAATGTTAAGAGTTAAGAACCCCTTGTATTTGCCCACCTATTCGCCAGGGCCTAAATATCTTGGATATTCGAGATACTCACAGGACTATTTAGTTTTGGAATTACATTAAAATTAGTTCTGAACTTTATACTAGCAACTAAACATTCAAGTTGAAATAGTATTTGCAGTGAAACTTGATTATAAGTGGTGTCCACTTATCCAGTTAATTACAGTCCTGAATTCGAGCAATCTGAAATGCTTTTATTGTAACTTCTGAGTTAAGCCCGTAACAGTTCTTTTCAGAAGTAGGATTGTAATGATATCTAGCTATAGCAAGGTTCTTTAAAATCTGTAATACAATGCAATCTGGAAGATCAGCTTGTTTTACTATAACTAGAACAGAAAATGGACAAAGCATTCATGTCAGTTCAAGAAAAAGTAACTAGGTCTCCCAATTCCTGTACTATCAGTATGTACACAGGAAAATTCTCTTCCAAATTCATCTATCAGAAAGAGCTAATCCTCTTGCTTTACTTCAGAAATACCACAGATACAGCTGTTCCACGTAGGTTAACAGTGTATGATCACCTAAATTGTACAATTCCCCCTAGATAATGGATCGTGGGTTCTCGAGTGCATGACACAGACTCAGAGGTAAAAAAAAAGGAAAATATATAAACAACATTCATACAGTTTTAATCCTGCCCCGTTCACAGCCTGTTGAAGAACTTAGGGCTACAATCTATAAAGGCTGCGGAGCAACCACCAATTGTCTTCCCCTCTTCTCCTGCAACTTTATGGGGGTTTTGGTTTGAGTTTTAATTACATGTCAGCCTTACGACATATTAAATAGGTTATTTTAAAAAAGGAGACAAAATTGAGAAAAAAAATGAAAACATATGTGGTTAAGTCAGTGACAAACATTCCTAAGCTACACTGTTTAAGAGTTAACCGGAACAAGAAGCCTCAACACCATTTTTTCCCCTCTCCCAGAGTTTGATTACAAAACTTTGAAGACCAGAATTTTTTTTAAAATGAGAGAAGGTTGTAGAAGACTTGAAAAATAAACCATCATTTTTCCTAAAGAATATCCAGCAGAAATATAATTACTGACATGGTTCCCATACCTGTTTATTTGGAAACGCTCTGATACAGCGGGTCTGGTATTTCAGACTTGATTCCCTCCGCTGCTGAACATAACCCATGTTCCGCAAATCCCACACCAGCACTCTCCGACCTGCTGTCCCCACAATTAGTCTATCTCCAGACACAGAAAGCGTATAGACCTTTAAAAAAAATATTACAATATTTAACACTTATTAGCCTGGATATCCATTGTTCTTTGTACAACATAAGATGTCAGCAATATGCAATAACAGAACAGGTCACTTCTACAATAAAGTCTATAGCTATTTCCCCTTTGCTTCAATTTATAACTCTCATTTCGGATAAACAGCAGTAGTGTGCAGCTGGTTAGTGATAAGACACTGATGGAGCATTTCAAAAGCTTACTCTTAATTCTGCACCCTAGCACATAGCTGAAAAAATCAAGTCCAACACAGCACCATACTACATACAACAAATTTAGCAAAAAAAAAAAGAAGAAAATTAAGAAAAGTTTTAATATGCATATGTAGTTGTGCAATTCTAAGTTTCAAGCATATTTGTTCAGTTCCCAGTCTCCAGATCTCGGTGATATCTGGCTAATCTTCCACACGGGATTTTTTTTTTCTTTTGCTACCATTACTCATGTTTTAAATCTACACACGTACAGAAGTACTTATGTATAATTCAAAAGGGAAATCAGTATTATTCAAGTTTCCTCAAAAATTATTTCAAGCATTAAATGTATTGGATATTTCAAGGCAAGAGGAAAACAGATACAAACTAACAAGTGGGAAAAAGGGCATGGAGATTGGAATTCATCTTCGCTTGGTATGGACAGCTTGCATTCCCCACTATCAATTCATGATCCTGCAGTTTAGTCCTACAATACCACATTATGACACATTTCCTTCTCCATTTTCCTCCATTTGGTAATCATGTGTTTTTCTTTTTAAACAGAATACTTCAAGTTGAGCTTCACATTAATAAAGAGAAATAAACTGCCAAGAAATCATTTAAAACAACCCAGTACTTTGTATACATTAATAAAACTAAGTGAAATCAAAGGAAGCAATATGCTTGACATCATTAAAAAGGACTACAGCTTGAAATTCCAACTCTATTCAAAAAACTGGCTCAGAGGTTCTAATTTTTATTTATCAAATTTCTCATGAAAATATTTGGCATATAAATAGTTCTGTTTCCAGCTATTACTTGGGATGCAGTTAATCTGGAAATATGTTAAAAAAAGAAAGAGAAAAAAGGTTCAGTCAAAAACTCTGTGCTATCAAATGAATTACAAGTTGTTGATACACAAGCAAGACGGAATCCAGCTACCTATAGCTGTCCTGTCACTGAGCTGCTAACAAGAGCAAACTGTGTAAGAATGAGCTTTTTCAAAAGTGATCTAATGCAGCTAAATACTTAGGAAACAGACATTGTATATACCCCAGATCAAGAATCAAAAGCGTAAGAGATCTGGGATCCTGCCAGAAAGATTCAATTTACTTTTGACATGTGCTTGTACAATTTCACTCAAGCACCTAGTTTCACTTTCTGGTTCTCTGATAAAGCCCAATAAGCTATTTGGTTCTGGTAAGACTGCACTGAAATATCAAACAACACAACTTTTCATTTGCTATAAACATTTCTGGAGAAACTGTGTTTTCAAAAAGTTTTTTCCTAATAAAAAAATAAGCCAACAGGTGTGCATGTATATATCTATATGTATATATAGATATACACACACACATATATATATGTATACACACATTAAAAAAACTTCCTTTAACCAATCCACATTCATTCAGCACGTATTCTTGCTCTAAAACATGATTATTGAACTTTCCTCTTAAGACTGAGGTCTTAAGATGGGAAATGTCTTAAATGTTTACATAGGAGTTGCCTAAAATTTCTGGTGATCCCAACTGCCAAATCCCACTTACATATAAAAGGGTAAGAAAACTTTGAGCCAACAGTAGTTACATCCTTTAACAAGAGAGTTTTTTCAAGTCTCCGTTTGTTATTTATGTAATAATTGATAAAAAAATACTAACAAACATTATATATAAAGTGTTTGTGCGCATGTATGGAAACAAAGGCATAAAGAACATTAAATATCTTAAATCTTCTTTACAAACTGATGTCACACCTGTATAGTAAGTATTCTTTCTACACCACACAATCATAAATCAAATGAAACCATTGTCATGCAGTTGAGTAGGTGTACACATTTATCAAAGGCAGTATTAAAAAAATGACATAATGAACCTTGCTGAACCAATAAGCAGCTTGAGTCACTATGGCTGTCCAGTATATGATATTCTGTCAGCAATTTATCACAGTTCTTTACATGCTACATACAGCTATAAATCAAAACTAGAAATAATGCAATTACTTTATTCTGAACAAAGGTCTTGCCAGAAGTAGATTCAGCTATGTTGTAACAAAAGCAATAGCTATTTAGATGCAATAGGGAATGTAATGATGGCTCATAATTATGACTTGATAATACGATGTGACAGAGCTAAATGAAATTTTAAAAAGGTATAGGCAAAAAAAATACTCAGATGTATAATTATCTGGCAACCCAGCCTGCGTTTAGGAGTCTATGAAAAAAAAAATATTGTTATATAATTCTTTCAATGAACACCATTGTAAGCAACATAAAGGTTAACATACCGTACAGCCACTAGAAAAAGCTGAAGACATTATGTTTTAACTTATTTCTCTTGGTCTCCCATTAGCTCAGAGGACTTTAGTATTAGGTGAATGTCCGATTAGTAACACAACAGGTAAATTACAAGACAAGCAATTCTGTTCTATCTTTTAATACAAATGAAAAAAACAAAATATTGTTTCAGGCAATATAATTGGCCTCCTACTATATCTCTATGCACATTTCAAAACGATCAGACCTTATGACTGCCGGGATCTGATATATCTAGAAGTCCTAATGTTTAAGATAATCAATAGTGCATATTAAAATTAAGCCAAGGATTACTAAAGGATTACTTCAATTTCACATGTTGTTTTTGTTAGGTTTTCCTTCTTCAAGCTTGTTTTAAATTATAATAATTTGGTCCATCACAGGCACTAAGAATTAAGTTATGCTCTCCTACTGATGAAAGCTCAAAGCCTTAACCTAAACAAAGATCCAAAATTACAAGATATTCTGAATATCAGTATTTTAAAACGCAACATTTTCACAGCTTAAAAATCCTTAAATGTAACTTTTCAAATTCAGTTCAGTTTAAGACAGTGTCCTGTGTGGCGATGTGTAACCAGTCACTGGATGTATTATTTAACATACCGCCTGGAATGCGGCATCCAGCACATAAGTACCTTTTCAGGTTGAGAGAAGGTTCCTGCATTACAAGGAGTTCTGGGATCCCACAGTTTAACTGTTTGATCCCAACTTCCAGTCACCATGACATTCACTTCTGGACAATACTCGACACACCTGATAGGAGCATCGTGGGCACCAACAAGGTTTTCTGTAAGAAAATACAATATATTTTAACTTTACTGGCTCTATAAACAGTCAGAATATCTTGAATAAAGAATTAAAAAAAAAAAAAAGAACAGACTACTGCAGTATGAACACACTATTTTGTGACATTCCCACAGATGTATTGATATGCTAGGAGCCCCTTTAAGGATAGTTCAGTCTTCAGAAGCATAACTTTTGCAAAGATCGGGAATGTTAAATTTAAACATAGGTCTCCTGAGATTATAAAAGAACGTTAAGAATTTTAGGCAGCCACAGAAAGATCTCCTGAGGTATCAAGAAGTGTTCAGTATCCAATGGTATCACCACCTGAGACACAGACACTAATACAGAAAGCTTGCATATATTAACATTATGACAAAAGAAATGGATATTACATAGTAATAAAAATATTAATATAAACACTTCTAGAAAGTAATCTACAACCTAATTATTTGACCTTTTTTGGTAACGTTACTGTGCACACAAGTTTGTCCACCCCTGGCTATTGGTTGGTTCTGGTGACCACATCTGTCTCACTCAGGCTGACATTTGCTTTTCTCTAACACACATACACACACAAAAAAAAAGTTAAGACAAACCAGCTCCATGTTTTGCAACAATAAGGCACCGGAACTGTGTTACTTACAAGCAATATTTTGTTAGAAAAAAAAATGTCAAGCATCACAGCCTTATACTACAAAGCAAAAGCTTTTTATACATTCCCCCATACACGTTGAAGACCATTCTAAATATGTCTAAATCACAAACCTTGGAAAATAACATGCTCAGTTTTAGTTCAGCTTAGCTAATTCCCCCTAATTGAGACACAGCAGCCTACAGCAGAGCGGGATTATTAGAAATTCAATTCAAGGCATCCTACAACAAACATCTACCAAAACTTTCTGGGAAACTGCCAAATGCTTCCACGCTTTTAGGAAGTACTTACTAGGGCCACTAGTTACTCTGCTAGATAAAGGTACATATGATGTGCACCTTAAATCATCAGTGTGACAAGTATATAGCTGTTTCCTTTCCTTCCATTTTCACCTTAAAATAAGTAAATAAAAAAAAGATATACACATGTAAAATACATCAATGAATGGAAACGTTTAAACTCTCAGTTTGGCAGCAACAGATTTGGCCCTTCTGTTAAAGGTGTTATAGCCCAATCTTCAACTACACAGTAAGGAACATTGCATTGTGCTGCATCTCGGTGATCAGAAAGGGTTGCACAGCAAAGACCACTGAGCACTGGCAACTCAAATCAACAGAGGTTTATAATCAACATCTAAACAGCTACTACTTAAAGTAAATATCTCCCATCTAAAAAACTTGGAACACATTCTGTTCACGTAAGTATATAAATCTGAAGCTTAGGTCAGTTGTTGAGACCACTTACAGAATTCAATCTGCTTACCTTGGTCCGTGTTTAAATCGTGCATTTTCAACTGCTGATCTAATCCTCCACTCCAGGCATGGGTAGGATCCTGTAAAGCAAAAAATTTCACCTTATGACACGTGTTAAGCTTCCCTGGCTGCCATACATTTAATCTCCTAGGCTCATAACAAAGGACTTGCCTTCAAGAGTTTTGGGAAGATGGGAATTAAGACACAAGGGTTAAGATCTGTCCCAGATCTAAACAGATAGATGACAGAAGCTTTGCAAAATTTTAAGTAAAGCACTTTGAGCTATATGATTTTTTTTAAATTTAAAACTAAAAAAAAAAAAGGCAGCAAGAGGCTATAGCAAATCGTTTCCTCTTCTGTAACAGCAAAGCACACAATACTTATTTTTAAATGACTGCCAACCTAAGCCAGTTCCATCTAATTGAAGTGTAATCCTTCCAATATTAATTTAGAAGTTAGATACCATTTGAGAATGCATGTTGATCCACAGTACAATATTACCTATGTGACAAAATGTTCAGTGAAAAAAGCACAAGTAGACCTGAAAATGTAAATTGACCCTTAAAACACTCAGTAACACATCAAGATCAAATCACTGGAGGGCATATCAGAACACGATGCAAAAAAAAAAAAAAAAGCTAATTGAAACATTCTACTTCATATATTACACCAAAAAAAGGCAAAGCAAAAAAGTGGCACCAATAAACTTAAACCATTCCAAAGCATATTTCACATCCAGTGCATTAAATACAGAAATCAAGTATCTGGCAAATGGCTCACTTGAAACAATGCCATGTTTCCAAAACAACCCAGTACGAAAAGGTTAAAAAAGAAAAGACTAATTGGCTACAGGCGTTTATTGTGATTTCTGGCTACATACTACCAGTACGACCCTGTAAAAAAACACGCACACAATTTATCATACCACTACAGAAACAGCACAAACCAGCTCAAATTAGTTTTACCTACCACTTCTACCACAGATAACTTACTCGTGTGCCTGCACCCTTCACAGAAGATACCTGTATTTAGGACTAGAACGATGTTCATTAAAAGAAGAATAATTGGCAGAAGTAAGCTATTTTTTTTAACCTAGATTTCAGGTAGTATTTCACTATCCCTTTAATTTCAGGAACTGACAATTTCTCACGTACCTTGGACACTATAAATCTATAAAAGAATAATTAAAAAAAACCCCAACCCTCACATACTTACATAAAAAGCACAGTCAAGGACAGCTCCTGAATGTTGATATTTGAGTCTCATGGTGTTGGCAGGAACATCATAGAGTCGGACAGTCGTGTCCCAGGATGAAACAAGCAGAAACTGAGATGTATTTGGACTAAACTTTACTGATGAAATACCATCATCTGGAGTTTGATTTAGTTTGAATTCGTTTGATCCTGTCATCTGAAGAAAATAATGCAGAGATACAATTTTAGTAATAATAAGACTGGAAGCCTAGCAAGTTACTTAGCTAACTGATCCATCTTAAAGGTAACTTAAAGTAGACCTGAAAAGTTTACTAGCTTTTACACAGAAAAAGTTCAGAACACCCAGATTTCTGACAAACTCTAAGATTCAAGATGCTACTCACTGTCCAAAACCTCAATAAATTCCTCCCCCATAGAGAGCTTTTAAATTTAAATATAAAATATAATATGGAATAAACAGTACAAATATTTTATTTTTATCATCACCTATAAACTTAGACATTGCTACTTACAAATGTATTTTTTCCCCATTCTGTGTGTGTGGCTGTATTTTTAAAAGTTAATATTTATAAATTACTGTATCAAGAAGTTACTTTAAAAAACACATGCAGGCAGAAAGGAATTCAATTTGAAAACTCTAACAAAAAGTGTTGATTTTTTTTCCTGAGCTGGTATGACTGTAATAAACTTCCAAAAATTGCAACTGGATCATCTTTTAAATAGTTTTGGGTACTCTGTAACTTTTCAATCCTTGGCTTCCATAAATGTCATAAAATATTTCCAATCAAATAGTTTTAAGATTTTTTTTCTCTTATAGAAGGTCAGATAAGAAAGGAAAGTTATGCTTTGTGGGGTACTGAAATGTAGAGCAAACACGTAAATGCGATATGACAGAAAAAAAAAAATCAACAATTCAATGACAGACCAATGACTCTGAAGGTAGCACTCACTTCATAGGACTAGTTGGTTCTATACTCAAAAATTCAAAGGGGAGCAGAGACTGTGAACTGCAAATTTGAGCTGGGAAAACAGTGCAGACCTTACAAACACTCTGAAAGAAGAAACTGCTCATCATATATACAACAACAAAATCACCTAAACTTTTTTAAGGCTTCAGAAAACCTTAACAGCACGTTTCCCTTACGCTAAAAGGGCAGAGAAGTAAATTAGCTTAATTTTCTATAACAGCATCACTCCTGAATTTCAAGAGGGAACGAGCAGATGAACTAGGCCAAGGTTCAGATTTAGTGCACAATTATTCTAGTTCAGCACTTGTCAGTAACTGAACAACCATCAAGTTGTACAATAACGTGAGCATTACATATTATCACACTGGAAAAATTTCCAAAGAGGGAGTTTTGATAGGTGTTCTGTAAGACATCCTTAAAAAGAAAAAACAAAACAAAAACCAAACTCACTACGTAAACACGAAGTGCTATAGCTGCTCTTTAAACATGAAGTGAGAAAAAAAACTTTTAAGAATAGGAAATAAAAACTTCTTTCTTAATCCCTTTTTTTCAGCTTTCCTTTGGGAATACTTGGGCAAAAGACAGATATGCTTGAGAATTTGCCACACGTATTTCTATATGAATACTACAGAGAACTTGGCAGCGCCTTCATCACACTTTAAATGGTGACATGTACCTCAATGAGTATTTCAGAAGGATGTACACAAAATCTAAAAGAATTTAGAACCACTAAAAGAATTAAGCTGGACATGTTAATTGCCTTGTCTGTTTATGGCAGAAAACTCAAACAAGCATAAGGATTTGAGGCGCCTGATATGAGTTACTAACCAACCCAAAAGCCATCAACAAGCAGCAGTTACCTACATCAGAAACCTGCAATAATCGCCCAAAGGTATTTTTAATCCAGAAAAAAAGTTATAAAATATCAGAATTAAAATATATCCTTTTACATGTTAACCCCCTCCCCCCCCCCAACAAAAAAAGGCATGCTCCCCCCCCCCCCCCCCCAAAAAAAAAAAAAACAAAAAAAAACCCACAAAGAGCTCTCCACATTTTCACAAATACTACTGCTTCACAACCGGAATTGCCAAACAACAGTAATTGTCATGTCCACCTCCAACAACAAAATCCTGGTAAAATTTTCATGGGCGCTGTTAAAACTGCGATGGTGACTTCGCTACGGGGTGCACCTTTGCAATTCCATCATTCCCAAAAGCTCATTTTTACCGAGCAGGTAAGAAATCAGTGCTTTTATAGTTCCTTTTAACATAGCACACTATCACTTAGCTAGAGAGCGAGCATTTCTCGAACACAGCAGGCCGCTCAGGCTGGCCGGCCTGTACTTTCAGCACGAAGACATTCCAAGTACCGTTTTCATATTGCACGAGTTCCTCTCCCCGCTCCGCGCAACGCCAAGGAAAAGCTTTCTTCCTGCTGCAGCAGCGGATTGCGGAAGCACTGAGGCGCCGGGGGCACGGTCGCTCTCGCAGTACGGTCCCGGAGAAGCACGTCAGGATGCGGGAGACGCCACCGGCTGCGGCGGGAAGGGAGAAAGAGTGAGAGAAAGGGCCCGAGAACCGAGGGAGGGC